CAGGCATCCTCAGAGGTTTCCCAACTTCTGAGGATGCTTGCCACAGATGCAGGCGAAACGTCAGGAGAGAGTGCTTTTAGAACATGGCCAAGCAGCCCGAAAAATCCTACCACAACCCAGTTATGGGAATCTTCCTGGTCCTGTTTGGCCGGGAATCCTCTGGAAGGGAAACCCCGGAGGGGATGGGGAGGGGGCAGTGCTCAGAGGCAGGGGGGATTCCCCGGCGGCGCGGCATTGGGCGGAGGGGAGGGGGCGGGGCAGGGGGCGGGGCGTCCTCCTCCTCCTTCCCGGGGGGCTCTTAAGGGCAGCGCTCCGGCCCTCCTCTTGCAGAAGGAAGGAAGGGAGGGAGGGAGGGAGGGAGAGAGAGGGTGGGCATGGGGCCTGGCTGGAGGTCAGCGGGGCTCCGGCCACGGCGCTCCTTCTTCTTCTCCTCCTCCTCGTGGGCGCTGACCTGGGCCCTCCTCGCCACCCACCTCGGACGCGCCGTGAGTTTCGCTTTCGCTTCGGACACCAATTGGGGGGGGGGGCTTTTCTTTTTTCCCTTTTTTCCTTTTTTTCCCTCCTTCCTTCCTCTTTCTCTTTCTTCTTTCCTTTCTTCCTCCTTCTTCCTTCCTCTTTCCTTCTTCTCCTTCCTTCCTCTTCCTTCCTTTCCTTTCCTTCTTTCTCTCTTCCCTCCTCCTCCTTTCTTCCTTCTTCTTCTCTTCCTTCTTTCCTTCCTCTCTCCCTCCTCCTCCCTCTCCTCTCCTCTCCTCTCCTTTCCTTTCCTTTCCTTTCCTTTCCTCCTTCCTTCCTTCTCTTTCTTCCTCTTCTTCCTCCTTCCTTCTCTTCCTCTCCTTTCCTTCCTTCCTTCCTTCTCTCCTTCCTTCCTTCTTCTTCTTTTTCTTCCTCTTCCTCTTCCTCTCCTTCCTTCTTCCTCCTCTTCCTTTTTTCTTCTCCTCTTCCTCCTCCTCTTCCCTCCTTCCTCTCCTTTCCTTCTTTCCTTTCTTTCTTCCTTTCCTTTCTTCCTCTCCTTCCTCTCCTTCTTCTTCCTTCTTCCTTCCTCTTCCTTCCTTCCTTCTCCTTCCTTCTTCCTTTCCTTCTCTTTTTCTTTTCTTTCTTTCTCCTCTCTTTCCCTCTCCTTTCTTCCTTCTCCTTTCTTTCTCCTTTCTTTCCTTCCTCCTCTCCCTCCCTCCCTCCCTTCCTCTCCTCTCCTTTCCTTTCCTTTCCTTTTCCTCTCTCTTCCTTCCTTCCTTCCTTCCTCCTCTTTCCTTTCTTCTTTTCTTCTTTCTTTCTTTCTTTTTTCTTTCTTTCCTCTCCTCTTCCCTCCTCCTTTCCTTCTTCTCTCCTCTTCTTTCTTCTTTCTTCCTTCCTCCTTCCCTTCCTTCCTTCTCCCTCTCCTCCTTCCTCCCTTTCTTTTCTTCTTTCCTCTCTCCTTCCTTCCTTCTTTCCTTCCTTCTTTCCTTCCTTCCTTCCTTTTTTCCTTTCTTTCCTTCCTTCCTTCCCTCCTCCTTCCTTCCTTCTCTCCCTTTCTTTCTTCTTTTTCTTCTTTTTCTTTTTCTTCCTTCCTCCTTCCCTCCTCCTTCCTTTCTCTCCTTCCTTCCTTTCCTTTCCTTCTTTCCTTCTCTTCTTCTCCTTCCTTCTCTTCCTCTTCCTTCCTTCTTCCTTCCTTCTTTCTCTTCTTTCTTTCTTTCTTTCTTTTCTCCTTCCTTCCCTCCCTCTTCTTCCTCTCTCCTTTCTTTCTTTCTTTCTTTCTTTCTTTCTTTCTTTCCTTTTTTTTCTCTCCCTTTCTTTCCTCCTTCTCTTCCTTTCCTTCCTTCCTTCCTTTCCTTTTCCTCTCTCCTTCCTTCCTTCCTTCCTTCGTTCTTTCCTTCCTTCCTTCCTTCCTTCCTTCCTTCCTTTCCTTCCTTTACTGTCACCTGTATTTCTTCCCTCCTTCATTCCTCCCTTCTTTTTTCTTCTTTCCTTCCTCCCTCTCTTCCTTCCTTTCTTCTTTCCTCCCTTCCTTCCTTCCTTCCTTCTCTTCTTCCTTCCTTCTTTCCTTCTTTCTCCTCCCTCCTTTTTCCTTCTTTCTTCCTTCTTTTCCCCTTCCTTCTTTTCTTCTTCCTTTCATCCTTCCTTCTTCTTTCCTTTTCTTTCCTCTCTTCTTCCTTTCCTTCCTTCCTTTCCTCTTCCTTCCTTCCTTCTTTTTTCCTCCTTTCCTCCCTCCTCCCTTTTCCTGTCTTTCTCCCTCCTCCATTCCTCCCCTTCCATTCTTTTCTTCTTTCCTTTCATCCCTTCCCTTCTTCCTTTCCTTTCTTTCCTCTCTTGTTCCTTCCTTTCCTTTCCTTCCTTTCCTCTCTCTCTCCTCCCTCCCTCCCTTTACTCCCACCTGTCTTTCTTCCCCTCCTCTATTCCTCCCTTTCCATTCTTTTTTTCTTTCCTTTCATCCCTTCCCTTCTTCCTTTCCTTTTCTTTCCTCTCTCCTTCCTTCCTTCCTTTACTCCCACCTGTCTTTCTTCCCCTCCACTGTTCCTCCCTTTCTATTCATTTCTTCTTTTCTTTCATCCCTTCTCTTTACCCTTCCTCCTTTCCTTTCTGGGCCAGTGGGGGGGGGGGGTCCTCACAGCCCCGCCCTCAACCCCTCCCCCACCCAGGGTCCCCTCCCTTTGGCTGCTCCCCATTAACTATGAACTGGTTCAGAACTATGAACTGGTGTAGTGTTTAATTCCCCCCCCCCCCCGCCCATGTCCTAAGCATAGCTGGTGGGGACAAGGGAGAGAGGGCCTTCTTGGTGGTGGCCCCCTGGCTTTGGAATGCCTTCCCCAGGGAGATGAGGCTGGCACCCACGCAGAGACCTCAAAGCTCGAATGTTCCAGTGTGTCTTTGATCATGATTAGATCCCCAGGTGGCACAGCAGGTTAAACCGCTGAGCTGCTGAACTTGCTGACTGGAAGGTTGCCACTTTGATTCCAGGGAGTGGGGTGAGCGCCCGCTGTTAGCCCCAGCTTCTGCCAACCTAGCAGTTTGAAAACATGCAAATGTAAGTTGATCAATAGGGACCAGGAAATCAGAAGGCGTTTCCTTCTTGGGAGGAGAGCGTTGGCCAACCTCAATGAAAGAGTGAAGAGTAGAGACATCACACTGGCATGAAGGTCCATTGCATAGTCAAAGCCATGGTCTTCCCTATGGATGTGAGAGAAGGACCAGAAGGAAGGCTGAGCGAAGGAAGAGAGATGCTTTTGAGCTGTGGTGTTGGAGGAAAGTGCTGAGAGTGCCTTGGACTGCGAGAAGGTCCAACTAGTCCATCCTCCAGGAAATAAAGCCCAACTGCTCACCGGAGGGAAGGAGATGAGAGACCAAGATGAAGTCCTTTGGCCACATCATGAGAAGAAAAGAAAGCTTGGAGAAGACAATGATGCTGGGGAAAATGGAAGGGAAAAGGAAGAGGGGCCGACCAAGGGCAAGGTGGTGGATAGTGTCTTCAATGAACCAAGACGTTGGCCTGACTATGCAACGAGAGGAGACTTTCGGGGGCGATCGTGTCAATTGCCCTAGCCATCTCGCGATTATAGCGGTCAACCAGGACATCAACAGGATCATCAGGCTCCATGACAGAAAAAACCCCAAGAGTCCTCAGAAGTCCATCTGGATCCATCAGTCTCCTGGGGCGGACCATCTTAGTGGGTCCACCACCCCTGCGGAAGTTGGAGTTCGCCGTCAGCCTAAAACCAATCAGATGATGGTCAGACCATGACAATGGAAGAATATTTTGCTCTTCCACCCTGACCCCTCCACTTAATCTCAAGGGGAAACCTTGACCTTGACCTTAGGCACCATCCATGAACACCCATGGGATGGTCCAGGAGGTCACGAAGAGTTCAACGCAACTGAACGAATCAACAACAACAATAGGTACTGCTTTGGTGGGAAGGTAATGGCACTCCTTGTAGTCATGCAGGCCACATGACCTTGGAGTTGTCTATGGACAACACCGGCTCTTTGGCTTAGAAATGGAGATGAGCACACACCCCAGAGTCAGACATGACTAGACTTAATCTCGAGGGGAAATCTTGACCTTAGACCCCGTCCTTAAACACCCATGGGATGGTCCAGGAGGTCACGAAGAGTTCAACGCAACTGAATGAATAAACAACAACAATAGGTACTGCTTTGGTGGGAAGGTAATGGCACTCCTTGTAGTCATGCAGGCCACACGACCTTGGAGGTGTCTATGGACAATGCCGGCTCTTTGACTTAGAAATAGAGAAGGACACCAGAGTCCCAGAGTCGGACATGACTGGACGTAATCTCAAGGGGAAACCTTGACCTTTGGCCCCGTCCTTAAACACCCATGGGATGGTCCAGGAGGTCACGAAGAGTTCAGCGCAAGTGAATAAACAACAACAATAGGTACTGCTTTGGTGGGAAGGTAATGGCACTCCTTATAGTTATGCAGGCCACATAACCTTGGAGGTGTCTATGGACAACGCCGGCTCTTTGGCTTAGAAATGGAGATGAGCGCCAGAGTCGGACATGACTGGATTTAATCTCAAAGGGAAACCTTGACCTTGACCGTAGGCCCCTGTCCATGAACGCCCAGCCCTAATTGACCGTTAGAGTGGACTCAGCACTTTCCTGCAGCCCTGGCCTTATGATGGGCTCTTTGCACCAGGCCATGCCCACTCCTCTCTAATTTCTGACCTTGCCCAGAGTTAGTGAGATTTGTTTTGATTCCTCTTGCGCTTGTTTTTAAATTGATTCATCAGATTGTCATGTGTTTGCTATGTTTTCAAATGGGTTATTAGCGATTAGCTCCATTGGGTTGGGCATGTTCCTGCGTGTAAGCCGCCCCAAATCCCTTCGGGGAGAGAGATGGGGCCAGGGCATAAAAACAACGTTATGGTTGTATTGCCGAAGGCTTTCATGGCCGGGATCACTGGGTTGTTGTAGGTTTTTCCGGGCTATATGGCCATGGTCTAGAGGCAATTTTTCTCCTGACGTTTTGCCTGCATCTATGGCAAGCATCCTCAGAGGTAGTGAGG